AAGATCTTCTTTTTAATAGATTCTTGAAAATGTGCCCCCCAGTAGCACAGCGGTATGTCTGCGGACTTACAACGCTAGAATCCGGGTTTTTATAATTGTTGTGGGCAGAGCACAGATAGCCCATTGGGTAGTAGCTTTGTGCTTCATAACAAACAAACAAACAAACTTGAAAATGTTAAAAAAAGAGAGAGAGAGAGAAAGGAAGCCCGGCGAGGATGTTTGCCCAGGGGCCCGTGCTGGCTCTCGACGTTCCTGAAAGCCAGTGTTACTTTCAAAATGAAGCCCCTATTTGTCTACACCATGTTTTACCAATAATTTTAAAATCTACAAAAATCTGTTTGTTAATATTACAGCTTTATTCCTGCAACAGAATGTGATACATTTGAATAACTGATTTAGGGAAGAGATGTTGTTTATCCCTAAGAACATTTTTATATTGCGAATAACCGCAGATTTGTTGTTCTGTAGCTTAAAGCCTTGTTTAAAATGTCACATACAACATCTAAACATAATTCAGTATTAGTTTTGTTATTATGTTAGCTGATTTAGTTAAATCTTTGGATTTTTTATTTCTAGAGATGAAACATTTCACCACAGTTTAACTAAAGTATATTAAGGTTGTCATAGAGAAGCCATTGTTGATGTGTTACTTGTAAACATGTGAACTTTTACTCACCCACTCGTTTTCAGATGATTGAATTTCTTTTTTATTTTGACCTTACAAGATTACTATTATTCTTACTTTTTTAAGAAGAGATGTACATTACTATAGTATATATTTCTTTAAACTATATTGATTTCTGTGGCAATATGATTCACTTGGAGTTTTTTGTATGATAACGTAATTACGTGGTATATCCTCCAAGTGTGTAGAATTTGCAATAACAGTTTATACTTTTAGATTCTAAATAATAGTGCTGTACATTTAAGAAACCAGTAGCTACTTATTGTAAACAATGCAATCATGCGACAGCTAAAAGCAATTAATTAAAGGTATTCTTATCAATAACAGTCTCTCACAGTTACGTGCCAAAATCTAGATGTGTAGGCCATAACTATATCCTAGGGCTTTTGTGGCCCTGTAGTGATTCATGAAGAGAATAACATTTTGGCCATTAATTTTTTGTATTGAAATTTAAATGTACTTGAATGTACTAGTTATATGGAGTAAATAAATTAAAACGGCGCTTGTGCATATATATATATGTACAATTAAAAGGAGTACAGCGTTAAAATAATCTGATCAAAAAACACCTTAGGCGTGAAAAAAGGTGAGGCCAAAAAAGGATTCAGCGTGCGACTTATAGGAATGAAATCAGAATTGACAGCCAAACTGGTAGCTACACTTATA